AGCCGCTGAGGTCCTCTTACAAATTCTGCAAAAACAAGTTAGAGATGAGCTTGCAGTATCTCCAAATCTGGGAGAGTTGTGTACACCTATTAACCCAATGAAAAACAACAAAGCCAGTAGACCTAATGGGATACCTGCCGAAATCTTCAAAGTGGGCGGAATTGACCTTACACAACAACTTCACAAGCTCATTGGAAAAATCTGGGAAAGAGAAGAGATCCAAGCAGACTTTAGGGATGCCAAAATTATCAATCTCTTTTAAAAAGAGTGACAGAACTGATTGTGGAAACTATCGAGGCATCTCTCTATTAGCTGCAGCTGGCAAAATTCTTCCAAGGATCTTAGCAAACCGTCTCTTAACAATATCCGAGGTGATCCTTCCTGAATCCCAAAATGGTTTTCGGCCTTCTAGGGGGACAGTAGACATCATTTTCACCGCTCGACAGCTTCAAGAAAAATGCAGAGAGCAAAACCAACCCCTGTATATGGTGTTTATTGACCTAAGGCTTTCAACACTGTAAATCGTAATGCCCTGTGGACTGTCCTTCTGAAAATTGGCTGCCCAGATAAATTTGTAAACATCATTTGGCTCCTCCATGATAATATGACAGCAACAATCGCAGGTAACAATGGCTCTCAAAGTGAACCATTCACAGTGGGATCAGGTGTTAAACAGGGTTGTGTTATTGCCCCAACTCTATTCATTATTTTCATTGCCATGATCCTACACTTTGTCAAAGTAGAAATCATATATCGAACAGAAGGAAAGCTCTTTAATCTGAGCAGGCTGAAAGCAAAGAGTAAGGTTACCGTAACTTCCATCATAGAGCTTCAGTATGCTGATGACAACGTAGTTTGCACACACTCAGAGGATAACCTCCAAACCATCCTAAATATCTTTGTAGAAGCTTACGAATATCTTGGCCTATCACTCAATATCCAAAAAACCAAAGTGCTGCACCAACAAGTACAAAATAACCCCTCTGCAGTGCCACAAATCCAATGATGGCGTTTCACTTCTTCTACCTGGGATCACTTCAATGTCGATCACTTCTCCTAAACTAGGAAGTTATATTTCCACAGGGGCCAACACTGATGCTGAAATACAGCATCGCCTGAGCTCTGCGAGTGCGGCTTTCTCCCAATTGAAGCACAGAGTGTTTGAGGACCGGGACATTCGCAGGGAAACCAAAATGCTTGTTTACAAAGCTATTGTACTACCAACCTTACTATATGCTTGTGATACATGGACCACTTAAAAACACCATCTCCAACTCCTCGAAAGGTTCCATCAACAGTGTCTCCGAAAAATTTTACACATCACTTGGGAAGACAGGCGGACTAATATCAGTGTGCTGGAAGAAGCAAAGATCACCAGTGTTGAAGCAATGATTCTTCAACATCAACTTCGTTGGACTGGTCATGTTGTGCGGATGCCTGATAATCGTCTTCCAAAGTAACTTCTCTATTCCGAACTTAAAAATGGAAAGCGTAATGCTGGTGCTGGTGGTCAACAAAAGAGGTTTAAAGACTGTCTCAAGGCAAATCTTTAAAAATGTATAATCACTGACAACTGGGAAACCCTGGCCTGTGAGCGCTCCAGCTGGAGAACAGCCTTTACCAAAGGTGTCATAGGCTTTGAAGACAGTCAAACTTAGGACACAAGGGAGAAATGTGCTAAGAGGAAGACACGCTTAGCAAATCCACACAGTGATCAACTCCTGCCCGGGAACCAATGTCCCCACTGTGGAAGGACGTGTGGATCCAGAATTGGCCTCCACAGTCACTTATGGACTCATTGTTAAAACCGTGTTTATGGAAGGCAATCTTACTCGGCTATGAGTGATTGCCAAAGAAGAAGATTGTGTACAATTATGGCCACCACATCTTTAAAAAATGGCATTGAGTTGCTTGAAAAGGCAACCAAGATTATTCTTTGGCTGGAAGAACTCCATTTTGAAGAAAACTTACAGCCTTTGGTGATTTTAGTTTCTTAAAAAGATGAGTAAGGGAGTACATGATAGAGGTGTAAAAAAAAATGCATTTTGTTCGAAAAGTGGAAAGATAAGTTTTCCTCCCTCTCATAATACTAAAACCCAGTGGGATCATTGGGTCTTCTTCAATATTCAAACTGAATACTGGAAGATTTAGAACTGAGAAAATGAAGTACAGGCAACATCTCATTTACATGCGTTCAAGGCATGCAAGACCGTGCATGCACACGTTGCTGCAAACCCAGAAGTGGCATGAAAAGGGGCAAAAAGAGCACGAAAATGGCAAAAACAGTGTCTAGCAATCCCACAAGCCTCTGCAAGTGCAATCCCAGGAGCTCTTTCAACAACCGTTGAGGCCTGTGGAGAGTTGGAGTTTGAGCAAGGAAGCTCTTAGAAGGAATGATTGTGGTGCCTGCAGGTTTTTTCAATGGTGTTCCCAATACTGTATACACAATATCACTTAAACAGTGGTGCCTCAGTGTAACCCCCATGTAAATGGGGAGTTGCCTGTACATCTTAACACAGCATTTAATTAAACTATGGAATGTCCTATCACAATATGTAATAATTTGTAATATGTAATATTTGGGGGCTTTCACAGCATCATAGAGTTGGAAGGGACCCCTAAAGGAAGATAAAGCTATTGGTAGCTATTAGGCATGATGGTTGTGTACTATCTCCATTTATCAGAGGCTGCATGACCCTAAAGACCAGTTGCAGAGGGGCATGAGTGGAAAGCGCCCTGCTTGCATCTGGCTAGCCACTGTGAGGCTAGAATGCTAGATTAGGTGAGCCTTTGGTCTGATCCAGACGAGTTCTTCTTATGTTCTTTTTATATCGAATGTGGTGTGTGCTATCTAGTCTTTATCTGCCCTGCTGCCACTGCACACATTATCTTTGAAAGAGACATTAATGGGGCTAATGCATAACCCGACAAAACCTTTGTGCATCATTTCATAGACAAAGTCGTCCCAAAGTTCTTGCTACACAGACTGTCCCATTCAGTCACTGAGCTGCATTAAAGCATCAAATGGGTTATTCAGAATATACACTCCAAAAGGGGGTCAAAGAGAAATGGGGCGGGGGAGGAGGGAGGGAGCGAGAGAGAAATGAGCTATAGAAAATGAATGTTTTGCTCAAGCCAGCTATAGGTACCCATTTCTCTCACTTCATCTTTTCACCCAAACCTTTATCATCAAAAGCAAGCACTATTCAACTATTATGGAAAGATTGGCTCTCCCTGGATAATGTTTCTTCCCCCGCCCCCCCCCCCCGCCCCATCTCCCCAGGCTCTTTTTGCCAACATCAAGAACACTAAACTGCTATATCTCTTCATTGCACCTTGAAGGAGATGAAGCGCAGTGTTTGGATTGCAAGTAGCAGGGCGCTTTGTGTGAAAGCAAAACACCCATTTAGCCATTCACCCATTTTAATCTTAAGCGCTGCACCTATCACTGGCACCCTGAACTAACTCAAGTTACTTTTTTGCTGGGTCATTTCTTCCCGCTTGGGCCAATTAAATGGGAGTTTGCTTATTTATTTTCTAATGGGAACATTTTGTTTTTAAGAACATAAGAGCCCTGCTGGATCAGGCCAGTGATCCATCTAGTCCAGCATCTTGTTCTCACAGTGGTCAACAGTGGGAAGGCTGCAAGCTGGACCTGATCACTCTCCCCACTTGTGATTTCCAGAAACTGGAATTAGGAAGCATTACTGAGTGTGGAAGCAGAGCAGAGCCATCACAGAGAGTAGCCACAGATATTCTTCTCCTCCATGAATTTGTTCAATCTTCTTTTAAAGCCATACAAGCTGGTGGCCACCATCTTCTCCTGTGGGACTAAGTTCCATGGCTTAATAATGAGCTGCATAAAGAAGGACTTTCTCTCATATGTCCCAAATCTCCTAGCATTCCACTTCTTTGGATGTCCATGAGTTCTAGTGCTCTGAAAGAGGGAGGAAAACTTTTCTCTGTCCACTTCTCTCGTGTCACCTCTTAACTGCTTATCGAGAGCTTAGGCCCTCCTCCAAACAACCTGTTTACTGAACATTCATCCTGATTTACTTGCACAAAGCTTACATTGGGTTAAGACTTTGGAAGTATACAGGCTGTTAACTATTTTGGGGGGTAGGATTCAATCCCATACCGGCAAATTCAAGCCGCACAATTATAATTGATTAGGAGGATATGCGCAATGAACATGCTTTCCCCAGGGATCGGAATTTTGCAACTAATGACAAAGGAAGGCCCTGGAAAGTGTGGGATGATGCTTGATTTGATGCAGCTGCATCTAACCTCTCCACAAACATATCATGATGAATGTTCATTAAATAGCCAACACAATATCCCTGTGAACAAATCCGGATGGATGTTCAAAAAAACAGGTCATCTGGAAACAGCCTGGTCTTTGCTGCGCATTTGTTTGCAGGGATGTTTTACAACAATGAGCATTCATCCTGATTTGATTTTGGGGTGTTTCATTTGTCCCACAGTTTTCAATGCATTTCCGTGTCACCTTCCTAATTGCAAGAAGCCTTTCTCTTATTCAAAGTGCACTGGGGTGGCAGAGCACTTTAGTTAACTTTAATTGCCTAAATCAAAATTCACACTTGAATCCTCCTACAAGTGCACAAACTTCTACAAGTTGGAGAGGATCAGGGATGTAACATTATGCTGAAGTGCAGACAGTCTTCTGCTTCACCCCGATTGTCACATGCTCATAACCATGCCCCCTTCTAAGACTACAGAAAACATGTTTTTTTGACTAAACATGTTTTCAGTACCAAGACAGCTTTTTTCCCCTCACCACCCTCTCTCACATTGCTTCACATCCAGCTTGATAAATGCTGTTAGCCAATGTCAGAAGGGTGACTGCAGCTCCACCCCACCAGATGGGCCTGGGTCTATTGCCATAGGTGTATGGTGGAGAGGTATCATAGAATTGTAGAGTGGGTAGGGTACCCTGAGGATCATCTAGTCCAACTCTCTGCAGTGCAGAAATATGCAGCTGCCCCATACAAGGATCAAACCTGCAACGTTGGTGTTATCAGCACCACACTCTGACCAACTGAGCTATCCAGGGTCTAGGCTACATATATTTCATTTCACCAGCTTATATGTATTCTGCCACGTCCTTTATGCCCTCAGCTGGTGGATTTCATGTAGAGGGCTCTGTGCCCTAAAACACAATTAAGAAACATTTTCAGGCTGCAGTCCTATATACTCTTCCCTAAGAGAAGATCCAGTGGGACTTGCATCTCATCAGGCATGCACAGGATTTCACTGTAAATTGGATAGCAGTCCTAGACATAAGCAACAAGCCAAAATTAAAACTTCATGGGTAAATCCCATGATTTGGGCAGTACTGCAACCATGATCTCAACTTATAGTTGTGTCTGCTGTACTTTTAATTTTATTTATTTATTTATTTACTTACTTACTTACTTACTTATTTAAAAAATATCTTTAAGTAGTTCTTTAATTCTTTAATTACTAAGATGATGGAGAGAAAAACTAAGGGAACGGAGATCTCTCTTTGTCTCTACCTTTTTTTGAAACAGCGGTTAGCTAGTCACCCTGAATTAATTTCAAATGTTGCTAAATCTTTCACTTTACACTAATGCACATATTTTGTTGTGTGGTTACATTAAGGCACTTCAAGAGAAAGACATCATTCAATGCTAAGAGGTGAAGGTGCAAATCTAAGTGCCATTTAATGTTAGGGAAAGTTCTTGTTTTCCCATTCCCTCTTCTTCTCCCACTAATTAAGCCAGTTGAAGTGCTTGTGAAAGGAAGGCAACAGGCTGAGAAAGCTTGAAGGCCAGAGCCTTCTAATAGGTACAGTACAGGCAACAGCAGGCAGTTTCCTCAAGGGAACAATCGCAAGATGCAAAAACACTAGAAGACCCAATCTCTAGTGAGGTGCACCTGCCTCCATCATTATTCACTTTCAGGAGCAATTGGAAAACATTTCTGTTCACCCTGACATTTAGTCTGAAGAATACTGTTCCTGGCCACCCCAAAACCATTGGATGGAAGAATGTTTTTAACTGCTAGTCGGTTTTTAGGGTGTTTTTCCTTGTAATTGTTTGTAGAATATTTTAACTGTTTTAGAATGTTTTTGCTTTGTTGGTTTTTAAACTGTGAATCTGTTTGCCACCCTGGCCTCCTTGGGGAGCAAGGGCAGGATATATAGTCAATAAAATAAATAAATCTAATAAATGTTTTGGCAAATGGCTTGTCCATTTGTCTGTTTGTTCATTTTGTGTTTGGATGCCTCTAGCAATACTGTCACCCAAACCAGCACAAGAGTCCTTAGGGTGAGGGCAGTGGACTTCATTTGAGAACTGGACACCATGTTGAATCAATATGGTAGACAGCAAAAAGGCTTTGGTGTGACTTCACCCTTTTTTTGGCATGGGTTCAGCTGTGTCTAAATATACTGTTGCTAAACTCAGCATGAGCATTTCCAAGTCATGAGGATGAAGACTTTGTTGCTGTTTAGATGCAAGGCACCACTTTGAATCAAGATGGTGGGCCAAAATGTGACTTTGGTGTGACTTCATCTGATCTTCTGGCATGACTGGTCAAAACTCTATCCATTTAAAAATCACAGTATTTTTTTGGTTACTAAATATTCCTTGGCAATGCTGGGCACTCCCAGCTAATAATAATTAATAATTAATAGATAGTTCCATGTAGGGGTAGGTGAAGTAGGAGTAGGAGTAATAGTAGTAGCAATAGTAGCAATAGTTCTAGTGGTAGCATTTCCTTCTCCAGTCTATTATATTAAATTGCATTTTTCTCTCCTGAAGCTTTGGGCAATTAAAGAATGCCCAACTCTCTGTTATATAGAGATTAATTTACTCTGGCCCCATCTGCTCTGAACATTTAATACAGTATTATACCACTTTAAACAATCATAGCTTTCCCCAGAGAATCTTGAGACCTGTAGTTGGTTTAGGCCCACAGGGGTAAGCAACCTAAGGCCCGGGGGCTGGATGTGGCCCAATCGCCTTCTCAGTCCGGCCCGTGGACAGTCCGGGAATCAGCGTGTTTTTACATGAGTAGAATGTTTCCTTTTATTTAAAATGCATCTCTGGGTTATTTGTGGGGCCTGCCAGTGTTTTTACATGAGTAGAATGTGTGCTTTTATTTAAAATGCATCGCTAGGTTATTTGTGGGGCATAGGAATTCGTTCTTTTTCCCCAAAATATATAGTCCGGCCCACCACATAATCTGAGGGACAGTGGACCGGCCCATGGCTGAAAAAGGTTGCTAACCCCTGGTTTAGGGTGCTGAGACTTTTTAGGAGACCCCCTCTTTTCTTCATAGAACTACAGTTCCTAGAGCAGTTTAACAAATCAGTGGCTCTGTAACATAGAAGTTCCCTCCCTCTCAGTACTGCTCTACAACCTGCAATAGGAGTAGAAATGAACTACACTGCCTGGTTGCGGTGTAATGTGGTAATGAAAACAACAGATAATACTGCAGTGTTGTACACTCTCACCTACAATATACAATAGCGGTCTGCCACAACAGGACAGCATTGCAGGGCTGTTGTAAGTCACTCCAAGCATGACCTGTAATACTCAGTGTAAACTATACTGCAAGGTGGTCTTAAGACACTGTCTCTCAGGAACAACTCCTATCAATCTGCAAGATGGGGACAATGAACTGCACCTTGCTTTCGGATTTGTATTAGCAGGATCATTTCCAATAAAATATTTCATGCTAAAAAGAACTTTGACTGGCAGGTGCTGCCTGGGATCTCAGGCAAAATTATTTCCAATCCCTGCCATCCAGTGAGTTGAGTTGCTGAAGCCTGAATCAAGAGGGAACTAATTGATGTAGTGATGCCCACCAACTTGGGTAGCTTTTAAAGGGGATTAGGCAAATTCATTGAGGATATTAGTCATGATGGCTGTTTATTACCTCCAGTAAGAGAGGCAGTATGCATCTGAAAAACAGTTGCTGGGGATCTTTGGTGATATTGCTGTAATGTTAACTGTCAGGAGCCCTTTACCTTTTTATTTAGGTATTATTTATTTATCCCTTTTTTATTATTTATTTAATTTTTATACCAGCCTTCATCTGAGTATCACAGGTTAGTTTGCAGTATAAAAACACAAAAAGTATATAACACAATGGCAGATAAAAACAATACAAGCACAGTTTAAAAGGCCATAGATTCTTTAACTAGCTTGAAGGCCTGGGAGAAGAGGAATGTTTTTGCCTTGAGCCTAAAGATCTGGTTGAGAGGTTGAGGAGAATCATATGCCCTCCAAGATTTCTCCAGTGAAAATAGGGACATCCTAAGGAAAGGTAGGACATTCCAGGATCAAATCAGAAAATCGGACAGCTTCTGTAAATCTTGGACTGTTTCTGGAAAATAGGGACACTTGGAGAGTCTGGAATTAACTAGAACACATTTCCCCTGTCTCTTTCCTGACAGAGGTCATAATACAGGGTGACCGAAGCAGTTCTGTGCCAAAACCAGGCCTAAATCCCAATTGAAATGGATCTAGAAAATGAATTTCGTTTGAGAATGCCTGGATGCGGTCCAAAACCACCCACTCAAGAACCATGCCCAAGAAGGGGAGATTGATAACTGGCCAGTAATTACTTAGATTTTTCAAATTAGGGAGGGTTTCTTGAAGAGTGCTCTTAGTACTGCCCCCTCCATGGTTATGCAGGGACCACCCCCTCTTCCTTTGCTCAGCCAGATGTCCCCTTCACATGTGACAGGCAGACAGACAGATAGACATGAACACACACACACTTTCCTCTATCATTTTTATAGAGCAGAGTCTGCAAAGCTCAGCTCTGCTTATTTATTATAAACTAAGCTTACCAGACATCCCCGTTTCCCGGGGACAGTCCCCGGATTTACAAATCAGTCCCCATACAAAATCCATGGAAGTTGAAAAGTGTCCCTGCATTCATTGAAAAAAATCTGGTAACCTTATTGTAAACCTCACTTTGCAAACATATCTCCTGTCCACGCCACGTGGTCTTGCACTGTTACAGATGCATGTCGGAAACAATGCATGATTTACTTGTAAACTTCTGACCTTTTCTTGTTTGCTGTGAAATAATGCGCGCTCTCTCTCTCTCTTTTTCAAATACATCAGCTGGAATATATTCCGCTGGCCCCCCCCCAGCTCCCGTGTCCTATTACCACAAAAGGTAAAGAGTCGCTAATATGGTCTTTTAGGCCTAAAAGACTTTAATACCATTTCCTTATCTTCGATCGACTTTATTATAGACGTATAATTATATAAAAATGTAACGATCACAATGTTGGACACATTTAACCTTCTTTGATCTCCCAGCATTCCCTGCTCCATGGGGCTGAAGGGGAGGGCTGTAGCTGACGAACTGATAACTGAATGAGTGATTATCCGCCTTGTTAATGGACAATGATATAGAAAACTCTTCCATATGTACGGAATATTAATGAGGAGCTGCACAAGCCAAGATAAGACTATAAGATGTTGCTAGCAATCACTTATAAGAACACTACTGGGAGGGGGAGAGGAAATACAAACTGGAAAAACCTCCATGCAAATATATGAGACCTGCCTATAAGGGATACCAGGGTTTCTAAAAATATGCATAAATTAGGAATGGTCACATTTCTCTCCAAGTGTCCAAAACAGAGTTACACTTCTTAAGAAACTTCCGAGGAACATTTGAAAAACAGCTCTTTTATATACTTTTATCGGACCCTCCAAGTGTCCCTATTTTCCATGGACAGTCCTGGATTTTCAGAAGCCACCCCAGTTTCTGATCCCAGAATGTCCTGCTTTTCCTTAGGATGTCCCCATTTTCATTGGAGAAATGTTGGAGGGTATGGAGTTACGCGACCCCCCGAGTCAAGGAGATAAGAAACTATACAACCTTTAGAAGACATTTGAAGGCAGCCCTGTATAGGAAAGTTTTAAAATGTTTAATGTTTTAATATATTTTTATATATGTTGGAAGCTGTCCAGAGTGGCTGGGGCAACACTGTCATATCAGCAGGTTACAAATGAAATTATTATTATTTCTATTACTACTACTATTATTGAATTGGACACCT